GTCACAGGTTCGATTCCCACTGTGGCCAAGCTAACTTTTCAGCTTGCCCGGTGTGGATGCACACTCACAGTAAGGCCCCGTTTACATGAGACCGGGACGAAGTCAAACAGGAATGAAAATTGAAATTGTCAACATGTTTACATGAGACCGGTACGAGGATCACAAAATCTTCAATTTATTCCCCTTGCCAGGCAATTTTCTTTTTCAGGTGGCTTTTTCTAGCATGGGTTGTTCCAATGTCAAGATTACAGCCAAGACCGGTCTGAAATGTATTTGTGTTTACATTCATCCCGGTCTGAATTCATGCCGGTCTGAAGTCAGTCGGTTCGGTCCAGAAGGCGGAATGACTTGAGACCGGTCTGAGTTATTTTCGTCCCGGTCTCATGTAAACATCTATTATAGATAATACTATGACCGAAACGAGATGGTCCCGGTTTGACTTCGTTCCGGTCTCATGTAAACGGGGCCTAACATCACAAACATCATATATTCACCTGAGTACATAACATCAACACACACAAAATAAAAATTATTGATTGATTGACAATACATTTGCTATTTTTGGTTGTTTGCATATACAAAGCAAGAAATACAAAATTCAAATGCTTTTACTCATTTAATGTAAGCATGCAATTGAACTAACATCATCCAAATGAATACAACTTTTCTGGTAAAGGGTGTTTAAAATAGAGGTGCATAATTGACCCAAAATTCATTGTCCCAAAATCTTACTAATGCCAAGCTAGGATTTTCCATATAAATTATATACAATCACCAACGATTTGGCACAGTATTACCCCTGGGCCCTGGGTAAAAAGATCTCTGTGATTGTTTTTGTCAGTTTATACATTTCGAGACTGTCTGCAAAAGTATATGAGTGACTGATCACTTGTTGGTTCACTTTATTGGGAAATGTGCTCAGTGGCGAAGCCAGCGTCGTGTGAGTGGTCATGCAAACGAGCGCCGAAGGTGCAAGACATCCTAGGGGGGTCCGGGGGCATGCCCCCCCGGAAATTTTTTGAAATATATACCCCAGAAACGCCATTTGCAGCAATCTGAGCATCAAATTTCAGAAAATAGCTTGATCTAATGACGGGAAAATATGTGGATATTTTGGCATATTTCAGACAACAATAATGAAGATCGACACAAAAATAGGAAATCTGTGGTCTGCAGTTCCGCTAATTATAGTCATACCGGCAATTGTGCATTTCTTTTCGATCAGAAAATATTACATGCATGTTCTGTATTATCATAGTCTGTATAGACTACCTAATTTTTAATTGATTACTTTGATATGCTATCCCCTTGTAGTATTCCAACATGAAGTCTGAAGACTTCAAGAGTTTTCACATTTCCAGAACTAGATACAATTTTATCCACATATACTAACGGACATAATGACAAATAGCTGCTAATACAGTCAGTATAATCTAGAATCAGTATGTATAATATGCAGGACTTGGAAAATATAACGCATGAGCCTTGATCAATTTCCTTAATTTAAAATCAATCGCCCAATTATTACAATATTACATACAGAAATGAAATCAGATGTTTGAGTAGAAGTTTTACTGTCAGTTTTATAGCCGAATTCTGCATTCATATCGATTTATATTGGCTATTGCCAATATTGGATATTTTCGAACGCACGGGGAGTATGTACCAAATGGTAAATACAATTTAACAATATATATTGAAATTTCTTTGTTTGTTTCACAAACAAGTATATATCAAATATGTTGCTAAATCACAATCGCTAAAATGTTTGTGTTGCGTGTTGAAATGTATAAGCTTTGCAGCGCTATTTATAGAACTACATTGTTTACTACATTGACCTCGACATTGACATTGTATTTCATATAGTATATAGCGTTCGACGCTTTATACGCCTATGCTCGGGTTGAAGGCTTAAATATTCAAGACAAAATACATGTAACAATAACTAAATACCAATAGGCAATAGCTTATTTAGCCTAAGCCTGACTGGCTAAGCCATTCTTTCTTTGAATACCACGACATTTGAAAACCTTCCCGATCGGGCATGTCGAAAGATCTGGCGTTTGTCTCTGCTTATAAACAATAATATTCTGCTCAGCAGAAAATGGTTTTTTCACCAATTCCCAAACAATATCGTTAGCTTCGAGTAAAGAAGAAGTCGACATGCTTGAATGACCTGAAGACGTGTTCATTCAGGCTGAAAGCTTCGAGCTAAGAGGCTGTATCAGGTTGTGTTGCCCGTTTAGTCATGCAAATCGAAAATTGCATGACCAAGGCGTCAAAAACAGCCGCATTGCGCGTGCGCGAACGTCGTAAGCCAATCAGAAACCAACAAACCTAATATAAAATAATACAGCTAGTCATGAAATTCTGAAAGTGCATGACCAAAACACACAGCGAGCAAACCACGCAGCAATCACACGCAATCTTTTTCCACGCGCTTACGCAACCGGTCATGCATGTGAAAATATGCAGGACCGCTCAGTTGCCAAGGTAACAAAGCCAAAATCAATAACATACGAGAATATTTAGCAAGAATATCGCCTAAAGACCATTGATTTGGGTAAACAAAATAATAAATAAAATACTTAGGCGTAGAAGTGCAAAGATAAAGTATAATTCTATTGTAAACAATTATACTGAACTGATTTTTAAACATTTTTGGGGAAATTTTTAGTCATGCACTGCATGACCTGCATGACCGCTGGCTTCGCCACTGAATGTGCTTCTACTATATAACTCAGTCTGGGTGATTTGTTTTGGCAAGCCTGCCCATCTAAAGAGGCTCATGTAACCAGACATTCATCCAGGGAAAGCGAGCTATAGGCAGGTTACCTGGGTGGCTCGCCTCTATATAAGCAGCCCCTTACATGTGTTTTAGGCTGACTGATAGCCGATAGGAGGGCTACCATAGCAAGCACATGCCATACACTGGGTAACATTAGATGGGCTATTGCAATGCTGTCAAATGTGACTGCATTTCAAACAGATCACATAGGCAATATATTAAAGTAATAAAGTATACATTATTATTTAACACGAAATACAACATACATGTATATTACACAAATAAAGCCCCGTTTACACGAGCAAATTTTATTTGACAAATTTCATATGTCGGAGATATTTTGCTCGTGTAGATGATAAATTTGTGACAAATGCATTTGAACAACAAATGCTTTTGATGAAATGAAATTTGTCAAATAAAATTTGCTCGTGTAAACGGGGCTAACAACACATATAAGTAGAGACTGTAGATTAGACTTATGGACTTCTGCTAATACAAATTAATCGAATATTTTTAACTGAACGTCTAGATCGGCAAATCGGCGGCGAAGCGACTAAAATACAGGCCTTCGTCTTCGATTTAAAAATATAACTATACAGTATATCAAGTAACTTTCCGCACACAAATAAGTAAATACACAATAAACATACCTTTGAAAACAAATTCCATGTATCTTATTAGGTCTTTGGAACTTTATATGTAGAACATTTGAATAAATACATTTCCCCATTGACATTCCACACGTTCAAATTACAGATTTAGGCCAGCAAATAAAAAGTATAGATGACTCGCGGTCACTTGCCGACAATTTCTGGCTACATTCGATCGCCGCGTGCAATTGAAGCCGATATACGGTATAATACATCAATGGCATCAATCTGACTTGGCAACATTCGAGTAACCAAAAACGTAAAATTTAAAAAAAACTTTATATCTCGAACTTCACGCTTTTCGCATCTGACTGTATTCAATACTTTAATAGAGTATAGCCACCAGCAGAAAAACTTTTGGATTCTCAGGCACATTAATTATATATTGTAATAATTTACTCCAGATCCAGAACAATTTTACTCTTTTTTGGGAGTTGAAACGACCCCTGGAGTAAAATTAAGGAGTAGATTACTCCATAATTTCTACTCCTAAACGGGAGTTTAGTTTACTCCTCCAGCGGAGTAAAATTGACTCCTGATGGAGTAAATTGTGGAATGCGCGTCGAAGTGGAGTAGTTTTAACTCTATTTTGGGAGTAGATTTTACTCCACTATTTTTACTCTCCTGAGTTGAGTAGTTTTAACTCCTATGGTGGAGTTAAAATAACTCCTTGAAATTAACAGTGTATATGATGTAATTATCACTCATTTACTGAGAGCGAGCGAAACAGTGTATTTTGTGTTTTGTTATATAGTATACGCCGGGTATAAGTGTCAAAGTATGAATAATTCACCTGTTATTGGAGTGAAACCAAAATGAAATAAATGGAGCGCCGTAAATGTTTAATAAAAAAGTTACTATATAACTTTAATACAGTTATGTTATACAGTAACTATATAACAATCAACCTTGTAACCTTGTTATATATTCAATGTCAGCATATTTTTTAAGTAAATGTGATATTTAAAAATGAAAAATATAGATTGTGAAAATACAGATGTCATAATTATAGCCTGACAATTTTCATTTAATAGACAATTTGGATCAGGGTGCCAGCCGGCGGAGAATGGTAGAAATACAAAAAAAATGTTGGTGTAAATTTTCCCTCCAATTTACTTCTGCTTGGTGGTGGACTTGGACTGGCCGTGCATTATGAACAGTTGTCCACTATGTATGACGGAGGTCCCATTGATCATGGTATATGGTCATCCAGTGTCAGGAAAGTCTAGTGCAGTGAAAGCAGTGATGGCTGTAATTGGACAAGATGAAAACAAAACTGGAGGTAAAAATAGATACGTAATACAGCTATTTTAATTTAGTATTTTACCATTCTTTTTCAATTTGTACATTCTACCGTTTTAGATTGCTCACATGTGGGTGCCATGGCGACATTACCATTATACCAAATTCATTTCATACAATCCAGCAGTATAATAAATTTTTATGACTTGATATATGGATGAAAAATTAAAACTTTGATCCGTATAACCTTTTAGTCCAAACGGAAAAAGAAAGGAGGGAAGGACAGTTGTGCCACCCCAAGGACGGTTCCACTTTGCAGAATGAATCCATCGATAATTGGAAGAGTGCTGGCAAATGATAAGGAAAGGATGTTGCGGTAAATAACACTGTCATTGCATGATTCGAAACTATACACAGTGAACTGGTTTTTGATATTAGTCCTCTGCAGGTATATTAATTTAGTAACATTTTGTATTTTTTGTCGTTTAGCATATTCTCTAGGTTTGTCTTTATACCGTATAAAAAATTACAAACCAAAGAAGGGTCTCTTAAGAAAAGCTTGGCCCTTCAAGCGGCCATGAAAGAAGTAATGGCACAAGTGATCCGTAGTGTCGGCGTCATACTGCAGCTCAGGGATGATTTCACTGGGCGTCAAGAAGATGAACTGTTCAATGAGGTAGTTCATTTCACAGAAGAACTAACAATAAATCTGCAGCCAATTATATGAACTTGTTTGATATATGAACTTGTTTGATATGTTCTCGGGGGTGATGTCTGTTAACTTATTTGGTGCTATGTATATTTCTATATAGATTGTTTACATGCGATGTCACAACTGAAAGGCCATGCACGTGCTTAATTAAATTACTTGTCAAATTTTCAAATCCTCGTTGTTTGAGAAGAAACTTTTCTTTTTTTATGAGATCATTGAGAAAACTGGAATGAAGAACGAACTGTGACCTGTTCTCAAATCGCACTTCACCGATGTTGTAATTCCGCACCACCGGATGTTTACACTTCAGCATATTCAGCAGGAAGAAAACGCAACATCCGATGTCCAGTTCAATGGGAATGGCAATAAAGACTTGATGATTGAAGTCATTGAGGAAGTGTTAACAAAAGTCACTGAAGATCCACAATCTGTAAGTAAGATTCCAGTCCACCATAAATGTAAACTGCATGCATGTAATCCGAACCGGACAACATAGTGTGAGTTATTTATTATTATATTAGCATTTTTGTGTTACTTC